ATACTTTGTACATACAACACTATGTCTACATTATCTCATACACTTATACTTTTACTTATAATATATAAACATTACATGAGCAAATACTACTTTGAATCTAACTTACGAAGGAAAATATAGAACAAAGTTCTGTGGCCATTTCATGAGTAAAAACCGTCAATAAACCATATAACTAATAATAGAGATCTTTCTGAATATGAATCGAATGTGAAAATAAATCTGAATCTGAAACGGAGGGATCTCGATCCCGATTTGAAATCTGAGAAAAATATCATCATAAGAAATTAAAGTTCTTAATTTATTATACAATGAATAATAATATATGATTATTTCTGTGATTTATTTTTCAATTTTACGATGACTAGGTACTGTATATATCGAATTTACATTTGAAAAGTGTTTGATCCACCTCCTCCTTCTAAATTTAACTAGTTCAAAATTACTTTGCTAAATGCCATCGTCGGATACCCACGGGTGATCTCGTCTTTTACTCATCACCCCAGTAATGAGTAAAAGACGAGATCACCCGTGGGTATCCGACGATGGAGAAGGACAAGTACATGTATCTATGTTTAATATGTCATTAAAAAAAATAGTGGATGATGTTTATATTTTTGTCAATGGGATGGCGTGTTATAATAGGGACAAGTCAAACTCCATAGACTGAATAACAGAACACGTCCTTTCAACTCACGGAAAAACCTGCTCGTAAAAGTATCTTTGTTGTATTATCCCTCAGGAATCGTCTTCTGGACTCTATTTTTAAAAATATTCTTTGTAAATGTATACATGCGAGTCATTTTATATATATATATATATGTAATTGAAAATTATGTCGGATAAATAACCTTTTCAGCAGCCCCTTGGCCACTTTCTCGCAGGCCAAATTTTTTGTCGAAAGTTTTCGGCGATTTACATTGATGTCTACAAGTTTTTATTTTGTTTCTTTTTTTTTTTTTTGTTTGTTTGTTTGTTTAAACGTATCCTTTCATTTCACTGAAAATTTCCTTGATTAGCGAAAAATGTAGCTTGTTAAAATGAATAGTAAAAAAAAAAATTAATTTGTCTCCTACATCTCAAAGAAAACACAATTCTCCCGAGGAACGAATATCTAGTAAGTTAAACAATAAAATGATACAAAAATGATAGCTTTCGTATGTATTTAAAAGACACTTATTACTACAATTAGTATGTAATATGGCTGATCTATATGATGCAGTTACAGTAAGGGAGTGGGGCGCAACTGAAAAAAATCAAGTTTACAAACTTTATTTATGAGGGACATAACCGTAATTTTGATAATTTTGATCTGATTATACTAGGTAGTATAAAACGGCAAAATTAATAGAAAGGGGGGGGGGGGGGGTGCTGGTCTCCATCTTACGGACTTGATAGTATACAATTATTTTTCGACGACGAACTGAGAGGCTGTTCAGTAGCGATCAAGCGGTGGAAGGTGTCAAAGTAGTCCAGCCCCGCCCCCAATTATACAGAGTTATTAAATTGTATGTAATATAGTTTGCCAGTCCCCTCCTAAGCCCCCCTCCTTTGGGAAACACGGACGGACCCCTCATAAGCTGGTCGAGGAGAATTACACAAACATGACAAGCCCCCACACACAGATAGGTTTTTTCATGTCCGGGGAGAGTTGGGGGTTTTTGGGGTCAAAAAATATCCTAGTCGGAGAAATAGGGTATTCATTTATCTCCTTATGGGAATTTATTAGTATGTCCCCCTCCCCGCCCTAAGCAGAATTCCTGGTTCTCCGTTGACATTTCAAACACTCTCCCTAGCCCCAGAGAACAAGAGGCCCATGGGCCACAAGCTAATCTGAGTTACTTTGGCCCTGCTGTTCTTCACCACATTTTCCCCTTGTAATAATACCTATTGTGGCCCCGCACTACCGCCAAGGGTCATGATTTGAACAATTTAGAATCTTCACTACTACAGGATGCTTCCACATAAGTTTCAGCTATTCTGGCTCAGTAGTTCTTGAGGAGAAGATTTTTAAAGATTTTTCCTATATATTTCAATGTAAAAATTGGATTCCCTATTGTGGCCCAGCCCTACCCCAGAGGGTCATAATTTGAACAATTTAGAATCTATACTACCCCAGGATGCTTCCACATAAGTTAAAGGTCATGATTTGAACAATAGAGAATCTACATTACCCCAGGATGCTTCGACATACTTAAGTTTCAGCATTTCTGGCTCAGTGGTTCTTGAGAAGATTTTTTAATGACCCCACCCTATTTTTGTCTTTTCTTGATTATCTCCCCTTGTAAGGGAACTTGGCCCTCCATTTTAACAATTTGAACTCTCTATCACCCAAGGATGCTTTGTACCAAGTGTGGTTAAAATTGGCCCAGTGGTTCTTGAGAAGAAGTTGAAAATTTGAAAAGTTTACAGACGGACGGAAGGACAAAGGGTGATCAGAAAAGCTCACTTGAGTTTTCAGCTCAGGTGAGCTAAAAAGTAAATGTAGCTTGCTTCATTAACTCTTATTTTTCACATCACTACAAGTAATGACCGTTCACGGTAGCTCAGTCGGTAGAGCGCTCGCTCTCTGATTCGGGAGGTCGTGAGTTCGAATCTCGGCCGCCACTGACCTAAGTCGATAGAAAATGGGTAGCAACTGTTCCTTCGCTATGCGCTCGGCACTTTGAAGTGAAAGTTGAGGGTCCTTCGGATGAGACCTTAAAAACCGAGGCCCCGTTCACGACAGGCGTTGGCACGATAAAGATCCCTCACTGCTCAATGGCCCTGAGTGCCGAGTAAAGGTCAAAATTTGAAGCCCTTCACCGGTATATGGTGACGTCTCTATATAAGTGAAAAATTCTCAAATGGGACGTGAAACAACATACTATCAATCAATCAATCACTACAAGTAATGTACAAATATAATTTCCATATACGATTTAAATCATGGAGTAATTACTCCCAGGATTTAGTGGGGTTTTTTTTTTGGGGGGGGGGGTCACAAACACATTAAACCTTTTAAAAGGTTATAGAATGATATATGTGTACCAAAGAAAAAAATCTGTAATCAATCAAACATGTGTTCATTTTCAAATCAGGATCGAGTTACATCTGATTCAGATTCGTTTGTAGGAGCATGGGTGCTTGAGGAGAGGACCCCCCCCCACCCCCAATATAGACCCCCGGGCCTTTTTTTCTTTTTTTCATAAACTATCTTTTAGTAACATATTTGTGATATAATCCATACCATCAGCCCGAAAAATTACGAAAAACAAACATTTTATAAAAATTCGTAACCCACTCTGTATATAAAATATGAAGATAACGAACAGCATTCAATCTCGAAAGTCCAATGAAAAGATACAAATTTAAAGCAGAGCAACATGGACCTAAAAATTTAGAGGTGCGATCAGGTGCCATGGAAGAGTGAGCATCCCCTGCCGACCGGTCACACCCGCCGTGTGCTCCTTGTCATGATCGGGTAATAACGGAGAAATCCATAGACAGTTCGGTATATAAAAAATGGCCTAACAATTGGTATAAAAAACGTCAGTCAGCATTTGACTCAATGCTAGGTTGTATGTGCTGACAAGGTCATTGTATCGACCGTAAAACTTGCCAAAAGATGACTTCAAACGAGATTGTTGATATTCTTGTTTCATCAACTTGTTTGTCAATAGCTTGCCTCGTTTTAGAAATTGTTCATACGTAGAGCATGCTCTTGCGTATCGAATCAACTGAGAGACATAAACCCATATGCAGGTGACAAGGGTACATGTATATTGCTACATAAGTAAGGGAAGTTGACGATTGAAAAGTTGAAGTCATCATGTTTATCATAAAGCTTTGTTGTTAGGTTACCATTAACGTCTTTTTCTAGTAAAATATCTAAATATGAAACAGATGTGTCAGAATATGTGGTATCTTTTATTTCAAGCTCACTGGGATATATCGAGTCGATTGATTGATTGACTATTATTGTTTAACGCCGAGTCGGCAATATTTCAGCCATATTTCGGCGATATCGAGTCGACATATGAATGAAAGTAACTATTGTTAATTGAAAATACGTCGTCGATACATCCAAATGTCGAGTTGAAAGCCACAACAAGTGTTTTCTTCTTCTCATGTAAAAGTTTTTGAATAAATTATGCTTCATATGAATACAAAAATAGGTCTGCTAATATGGGGGCGCAATTGGTTCCCATGGGAATTCCAACAGATCGTTAGAAGATCTGATCTCCAAAAACTACATAGATATTGTCAATCAGAAACTCAAGCATCCTTTTAATATCAACTTCAGTGTACTTGTGTGTACAATCAGATTGCTTTTTAACAAAATAATTCTGTAAATGACCAATGACAAGGTAAGCATATTTACGAGTTCCATTTTTATTGAAAAAGCAGCTATGATGTCCAAAAGCCTGGACTTTAATTTATCGTGGGGAATAAAACAAGGCTGCCAACTCCGTCTGTCATCCGAGAGGCACTACCAAGGATTTCTTTTAATGTACTATAAAACGATACCTACCATTAAAAACGGTTTGATCACGCTGTGTCCCAAATATTTCCTCCACTAAACATCTGCATGTCACAATAATATAAGTTTATTTATTGGGTCAAATGGCATGATTTTCACCGACAAGTTAACGTTTTTGGAACTGATCAAAGCTTATCCAACGGAAGTGAAGGCATTACGTCACCTATCGCAAGGAGGATAGCTCTGCTGCTTAACTGAGAAGTTCCGAGAGTGTACATGGGAACAATGAAAAGGTAAGAGAATGACGAAATATTTAATTTGGCGCATATTTACAAAATCGAAAAAAATCTAATTTAAGAAATAATAATTAAAATTAAGCGGCGATAAATTGCAAGCATTCTTTATCACCTTTGGTGCTGGAAAATTTGGTAGAAGGCAGTCAGAGTCAATATATTAACAAAAACAAATATGAATCCGATGTTACCAGTAGAGCAATTTGTAATGCAATTAAAAACATTTAAGAATGTTATTGTTAACAGTTCGCTCAACAGAAGACTGGTCCAAATTAACACAAAGATATTGTGGTCTTTCCTGGAACATGGAGTCTGCCACTCAATCTGAAATAGAGTTTATAAATACTCCGTCATTATTACCACCAGATTTTTTTTTTGTGATAACAAACAATATAAAAGAAATAAAAATTGGACTCTTTACTGGAGAAATAATAAATGAAGGAAATCCATGATTGAAACTGATTTACAGTCAGATGGAAAATATTCACTAAATATGATTGGGAAAAAATTGACCCTGAAAATTTAGGTTTACAAAGTCACTTTTCACTAACTTCTCAGTCTGTGAAATCATTATTTAAAATCATTGGACATCTTCAATACTGCAGAGGAGTGAATACCATTGAAAGAAAAGAATTACCCCATTTTCAGGAACATATTTGTAGTGTTGGTGATGAGAATAGTGAAATTCTTCAATTCAGGTCCAAAAAGTGTTTCAAAGTCCTGCCATTTAACTCATCAAATGACTCATCATATTCAACTTGTAAGAACTGTAAAAAATTGAACATGAAACCAAAAATGAATAAATCTGAGTGTGATGCACAAAATACTGATGACAACGTTACACACAAAAAACAAGTTACAAAAAATGATGAGATTATACTACAAAAAACTGATAATGATGATTTGAGTACAATTTTAAAGACAATCTTTCCTGAATGTTCTTTGAAAATGCAAACATTTCTGATGAACCAAAAAATGGCTTTAGAGCGAAACTCAAATAGCAGAAGATGGAGTAAAGAAATTGTTCGACTGTGTTTGACATTGTATTGCAGAAGTCCAAGGGGTTATAGTGAATTGAGGAACAGTAATTTTCTGATATAACCCTCTCAGAATTTATTACGAAAGTAGAAGAACTCTATTCACCAAGAGGGTGGGATTAAAAAAGATATGCTTGAATGGATGGCTAATGAAGCCAAATTGAAGAATATTCCCCCTGCAGGATATGAAGGCGAACTCATCATTGACGAAATGTCGATACAACCAGATTTACAATTTCGCAAACAAAATAATGATATTGAAGGGATTGGATTTACTGAATGTACTCCAGAGTCCATTGTATTTGACCAAATGAAAAAAGGCAAAAGAGAAAAAACTCTAGCTACTCATGTTTTGCAATTGGTATTTTTAGGCTTCACCGGTTTTCGCTTCCTATTTGCCCATTTTCCATCTCATAGCGCCATGAACTTTATTTACTTCTATGGAAATCTAGATCTGTAAACATGCTTTCAACATTTGGGTTCACAATTTAATATATCAGTATAGATGGTGCCCAAAGCAATCGAGACCTGTACAAAATACTGATACCAAATTTGATACTTTAAATCCAATTACATGTTCATTCAAAAACATTTTCTCTCAGAATGAAAATCAGAAGTTATTCTTCATCATGGACATATCACTTGTGTTGAAAAAATAAGAAATAATGTATCAAAAAGTGGAAAAGCTGCATTCTGTAAAAGACATTTGAAATATGAGGACACATTTATAGAATGGGATCACTTCAAAGGGGCATATCTGTGGGAGATTTCTACAAACCCATTTCCTATCCATCACAAACTCACACAGGGACATATCTACTTAACATCAGAAAGTAAAATGAGGAATCATTTGGCTGAAGATATGTTAAACGGTGAGATGTTGCATCTAATGAAACTTTATCGTGAGAGTTTAGGTGATGCTGGGCACAAGCTGGATGGAACGATAGAAATGTTGACCAATACTAGTGCACTAATAAGGAATTTAGAGACTCTAGACCAATCACTGATGTCAGTGATGACAGACTGAAGGAAAACAATAATGCACTGCAATGGTTCATTAAGTGGGGACAGACAGTCAAACAGGATAAATTGATTAAAAACAAGGAAAAACATCTCATATCTCATCAGACAAGGGAAGATATAATTTCTTCAATTATGGGATTTGAAGAGTTGTGTGTATACAAATTAAAGTCTTGCAATGCATCCATCATCCTGAGTCGTGTCAATAGTGATGTGATAGAGAACATGTTCTGTCAGCAGAGAACATTACATAATGGGGCCAATACTAATCCAACCTACCTAGGTTATTGTCATTCAGTTAATTCAGTAATTCTTGGGCAAGTCTGAATATCTCGAAAATCGTAGGTGGTGGTGAAGGAGCACAATTACCAGTACATCATGGAGTAAAACCGAAGGTATGGAATATAGCTGTAAAAGAAAATAATTAAGGGAAAAATTTTATTTTATTTTATTTTTTTTGGAAACATGCATCCTTCCATTGATGAACAATTATATTCTCTGAGAATTCACTCCTTAATTAAGGTGTTGAATGCAATACATGTAGAAAATCAATTTATAGGTATACAGGTAGTCTTTATCTTGAAAAATATTACAGCTACTTAATGTATGGTTACTGTCATTAAAATTTTTAACTTCTGATAGAGAAGAGTACACTATTTTGGTTGCAAACAATTGGAATAATTAAAGAATCATTAACTAAAGGCAAAAATTACATGTAATTTGAAAGAAACAAATATAAACTGAATACATTACAAATATCAGAAACCATATAAGATAATTTATAAATGAGCAATTGCAAATACATGTATTAATAAATTGACATGTTTCAGAACACACAAAACATGCAAACAAGTGTACGTATCCATCTTATTGGCAGAGTGGGCAAGTATAGACCCCCTCAGGCTCACTGATACACTGATAATAGACCATTCCTCATCATCCTGTAAATTTGCACAATCCCTGTGGTACCACAAATTACAAGTATCGCACCTTATCCAGTCCTCACCGTCAACATAATGTCCATTACATACTGTACAGTCCTCATCTTGATCATATACATTAGCTGCATGAGTCCTCTTCTTGGCGCTTCCTTTATCCTTTCCCTTTTCCCTTCCTTGATTGACATTCTGTGGAAATTATTGTAGGTGCGAGTCCTGAAGCCAAAGAATCAGAAGTAACACTGACAGGAGTTGAGGGAGGCAGCGTGGGGACACATCCACTTAGTCCTGGAATATCTTCAACTTCAGGCACAGAACGTGAAGATGCATCTGAGAGAAATTTGTTTGGACAAGGTATGGAATCACAATTTAAGATCACTCTGTTAAGATTTAAAAGTATATCTTCTTTTTTCTTTTGAGATGACATCTTAACTTCATACATTTGGCATATATATAAGAAGTAAATATTTTTTTGTGAAAGCTAAAAGGAATTTTTCATTCAATACAACTTCAGATTTTAGCCGCAATGTGAGCTAATTCTGTCGTTTGACTTGTCTTCTATTAGAAACTGCATATTCAATGTCTTAACAGGTTTTCTGGACTTATTCTTCACAATTTTTTTACGGAGAGCCTTACCCTTTTCTATTTTTAGGAAGGACAGATAGTCTCTCCGAAATTGATTGACCGACACCTTCAAGAATAACCGAATCACTGAATGATAGAGTTCTATGAAGTTTCCACAAGAGGTTACAATTGAGTGTAAGATACTTTTAATGTTTTCTTCATCACCAGATGTAACATAATTAACAACATAATTCTAATTCAAAGTCGCAACCCATAATTCAAATAATTCAGTGTTTTTGTAAAGTTCATCTATCACATAACTGAATATGCTTTTCCCATGACGCATTAGATTGATGTGTGTCAATTTTTCCCTGCACAAAGTTTCAAGTTTCATGAAAAATTCAAAACTAGCATCAGTCAAGTTTGTAAGACTTTCTCTTTCATTTTGTTTTCTTCTAGTTTCTTGCAAACTTCCAACATCTTCAGTTGAATCCTTCAACTCATCATATGAAATACACAATAAATTTAAAATGTTATTTGACTTTGAAGTTGTAATACTTTAGAATTGTCTCCCTCTGCAAATAAAGAATTTCTTGTTTTCACTGATAAGTTGTATTTCAGTTTTGCTAGAACACATCCACTGATGTACCTGATTTTTATGCCCCCGGATCGAAAGATCCCGGGGGTATATTGTTTTGTCCTGTCTGTCTGTTTGTCTGTTTGTCTGTTTATCTGTTTGTCTGTTTGTCCGTTTGTCTGTTTGTCTGTTTGTCCGTTTGTCTGTTTGTCTGTCTGTCTGTTGTCAACTTTAACCTTGCCCATAACTTTTGATTGGTTGGTGCTATGACTTTTCATATTTCACATGTGTATTCCTTGTGACAAGACCTTTCTTTGGGTACCATCATATTTGACCTTTTGTCCTTGACCTTGGAGTTTGACCTACTTTTGCAAAATTTTATGAGACTTTAACCTTAGCCATAACTTCTGAACAGTTGGTGCTTGGGGTTTCAAACTTCACATGTGTATTCTTTGTGACAAGGCCTTCCTTTGGATACCAACAACTTTGACCTTTTGACCTTGACCTTGGAGTTTGATCTACTTTTGAAAAACTTTAATCTTGGCCATAACTTTTGAACAGTTGGTGCTTAGGGTTTCAAACTTCACATGTGTATTCCTTGTGACAAGACCTTCCTCTGGATATCAACCACTTTGACCCTTTGACCTTGACCTAGGAGTTTGACCTACTTTTGAAAAACTTTAACCTTGGCCATAACTTTTGAATGGTTGGAGCTAGGGCATTCATACTTCACATATGTAATCCTTGCGACAAGACCTTACTTTGGATACCAACCACCACTTTGACCTTTTGACCTTGACCTAGAAGTTTGACCTACTTTTGAAAAACTTTAACCTTGGCCATAACTTTTGAATGGTTGATGCTAGGGCTTTCATACTTCACATATGTAATCCTTGTGACAAGACCTTCCTTTGGATACCAACCTATTTGACCCTTTGACCTTGACCTAGGAGTTTGGCCTACTTTTGAAAAACTTTAACCTTGGCCATAACTTTTGAATGGTTGGTGCTAGGGCTTTCATACTTCACATATGTAATCCATGTGACAAGACCTTCCTTTGGATACCAACCACTTTGACCTTGACCTTGACGATTGACTTTTATTCAAAAAACTTTAACCTTCGCCATAACTTCTGAACAGTTGTATCTAGGTCTTTCAAATTTCATAGGTGTAGTCCTCGAGACAAGACCTTTCTTTGGGTATCAACATTTCTTATCTTTTGGCCTGGATTTTGACTTGCATTTGAAGAAACTTTAACCTTCGCCATAAGCTGCCATACGGGGGCATCAGTGTTTCACAAACACATCTTGTTCCTCTTGCAGGTGCTGGTAATTTTTCTACTGACACTGAAGTGCTCTTAATACATTCAGGATCTTGCAAGTCTAGATGCCCTGATAAATCTTCAAAAAACTTTCTTTCCAGATAAAATAAAAGTGTTGTCAGAAACTGAAATTGTGGGCCACTGTCCTTTATTGAATAAATATTAAGCATTGATATTACACTGTCTTTGTATTCATCAGAACTGAGGTATTTATTCAATCTAACAAAATAATCATTTTGCTGTTTGGCAGAGTATGTCTTTTCACCTTCAGGTAGACAAATCAAAGCTATGTCTTCAATGACTGAGGACTGCTATTGGTGCAATCATGGTATATTTGAAAATTTTCCAGAATTCTTTGTTTAAATCTCATTTTCCAAAGGTGTTCCAACAAATTCAGAAAAAAACTGAATCTAGAGCTGTCTTTGCATTTGATGAAAATTCTTCTGTTATAATTTGTTGTTCAGTGAGAGAGTCTAAAATTGTCAAATTCTCAATTTCAATATTTGAAAAATCAGAGTCAGATTTAAATTTTGCATCAATATTTCTATTTTCTGAAAGGTCAAAATCATCATCACCACCACCATCATCATCAGTGTAAGAGTCTTCAGTTTTTCACCTCTAATTCCCCTACAGCAAGACATAATCATTTTGCACATTGCCTATGGTAAAATTTTCATAAAGCTTTGTAACATGGAGTGGATGCTTACGACATAATGTTTTTTTTTTAAGTTAATTACTCGTAGACCCTCAACTTGCTGTGCACGTCCTATAGCAACACCAATTTGCCCTGGCTGATAACAGTTTTCACAATTGATGACAACATTGTTCAAGGTCATTCCTTGTGCTTTATGCACAGTCATCGCATATGCTAATTTCAATGGTAACAGTTCTTTTTGCTATGGTTATCTTATCCACAGGATCAAAAGTTGTAAAAACCACTGGCTTAACAGTCACAACGGTATTTCTTTTTTCAAAAACAAATTTCACATCAACAGGGTCAGACATGAGTTGAACGACAGTGCCACATAAGCCATTCACTAAAGAATCACTTAAATTTCTGACAAGCATCACTGGACAACCAACTTCAAGTCCTAAATTTTTGGGTGCTAGGAATTTGCTTAAATAGTGGGTTGATCCTTATCTCTTGCTTTGTAAAGTTGAGTTCTTCTGGTAAATTTTGTAATTTGTTATAATTGAAAATGTCAACATCATAATTACGGGCAAAGAGATGAATACATTCTTCCTCATTGGGCGGTGGTCGGTCTAAAGACTTCAGGAAAGCTACACTTTCATCCGATGGATCTCCTATCTCAAGTTCATTTATGCATTTGATAAGTGTTGTGTCACTCTGTCTACGAATTATGTTTAATTTTACTTTATGTGGGAAGCAGTTATTAAACCATGGTGGTTTGTGCCTTCCATTTTCTATTCTTGCCCATTTGTGTAATGTAACTGCCCCCAGATCACCGTAATGAGTCGCAGCTATTCCTGTGGAACACACAATGGCGACATGTGTTTCTTTACTATATTTTTTTTCACAATCCTCTTAATAAGAAATGTCATTCCTGTACCCGTCTGACCACTAATAATCAAATTATGGCCATTTGAAAGACGGAATGCCAACTCCTGATCTTCGTCAAACATTGTGAACTCTAAAACAGCTTACTTTCGCGGACTTTTTGTTTACATATTTCGTAATTCTCTTACCTTTTTGTTGTTTCCATGTACACTCGGAACTTCTCAGTTACATGTAAGCAGTAGTTATCCTCCTTGCGACGTAATGCCTTCACTTCCGTTGGATAAGCTTTGATCAGTTCAAAAAACGATAACTTGTCGGTGAAAATCATGCCATTTGACCCAATAAATAAACTTATATTATTGTGACATGCAGATGTTTAGTGGAGGAAATATTTGGGACACAGCGTGATCAAACCGTTTTTACTGGTAGGTACCGTTTT